GTAATAGTTGAGAGTTTTAATAATTTATAATAAAAATTCGGTTTTCCTTAACTAACATCCTTATGCGAGGCGAATCTATTATATTCTGAATTATATATCTAGAATTGGTTTAATTTTATTGGAAGATAGAAAAAAAAGAAGAAAAAGGTATTCGTCCTCGCATTCAGGAAGATTTCTATTTTGCTGTTAATTGCTTAATTGCTAAACGCTAACGTAGCATACATTATCACTAATTTAATGTTAAAAAATACACGCTTTTATTTATTATATAGAAAGGCTTCTTTGAAAAAGATCTTGGGATATTCTTATACATTCTTTAGAGTAAATAATCTGTGTGACGCATAAAGGTACATAACGTGATCTATCTGTTGATTCGAATGTTTAAATAAAGGAACTAAATATACCCCCCTATAAAAGAGAAAAGGAATTTTCGGTTTCGAAATAAAGATAAAATAAGGACGAAATATCAAGACCAAGACGAACTACTAATCTAGAAATAAGATAAAAATAAGGTATAAATCATATATTTATATAATAACGAAAGAGAGGATTTTATCGGGATGTAACATATTGTACGGAAAGAATGATTTTGCTAAAGTATCTACAAATTTAGGTATAGATACAGATCTGAAAAAATACCCTTATAAAAATTTTTCACCGTTTTTAGCCCGCGCGAACGGTTAATTTGAGTAGTGAAAACGTGCATTTTACTCAGTGAGTATGACTCCGTTTTTAAGTCACAAACAGGAACTTTTCCGTAAAAATGAGTGGTTAAGACGGATTGCACTCATGCAGGACACGAGTATATTTGAGTGATAAAAACGTAATTTCAAATTGTGTAACTTAAAATGTAATGAAATTTAAGAATATTTCTAACAGTGTAATTATATTTAATACATTGTGTATGAATTATATACATATATGTAATGTTATGTATATCCAGATATATATATATAAACACACACACACACACACACACACACACACACACACACACACAC